CGGCAGCGGGCGGCCGCGGTGGCCTGGCGCAGAGCTGCCATCAGGGCCTCGGGCGGGCGCGAGCTGGTCAGCTTCACACTCCAGGGGAATCGGAGCAGCCGGGGGGCGGTTTCCGTTTGATCCCAAGGTAGATGGCCACTGAAGTGGGAAGATATTAGGGGTTAAAGATGGGAGAGACGAAGGTCTCCTACTGTTCCAACTTTGGGACAGACTCCTTGATGTCCCCTCGAAACCTCCTCTACCCCAGCGACAGTTTCAGCTGTACATACAGCTGCCCAGCTGGAGACTACATTCCCCAGCCTCCCCTGCAGCCAGGTGTGGTCTTGTCTCCAGATTCCCGGATGTGTGTGGAAGTGACGAGCGCAACCCCACATCACCTCCTTCGAAAGCAAAGTGGATGCCCCACCCGTAAGGCTGCAGCATGAGCCCGCCCGACTGTGAAAACGACAGGGCTCCAGCGATGGGGATGAAAAGGCCCCGGGCACCGGAATGACCTCATGGGACAGAGCGGCCCTGCCAGCCTGCCCTGCACATACGGTTTGTGTGAGCGAAGAAAAGAAATTTATTTCTGTCTATATTTTGGGGTCTCTTTGCTATAGCAGCTCAGCTTGTTTCCTAATATATCCTTCTTCCAGTAATAGTCACCTTTCCTTTGGAGGACCAGCCCTCCTCACTCTAGACTAAACGTTCCCACCTAGGAGCAGTACTGTCCCCCAAGGGATATTTGGAAATTGCTGGGGGCTTTCTGATTTTTACAATGTCTTGGGATGGGAGCGCTGCTGGCATTTATTAGGTTCAGGAGGTGCAGGATTGATATGTATTCTGCAGTGTGTGAGAGTGCCTTGCCTAACAAAGAAGTTGACCTCTTCAAGTACCAAGAGCGTCCCCCTTGAGAAGCAGGGTGTATCTAGTCTTTCAGGTTTAGGTGGGGCTGACTGCCTCTCAGCTCCAAGGGTGAACACATGACTCAGAGCTGGGCAATAAGAGCATCCTCCCCCCACTGTAATTGGTTCTAAGATGAGCATCTGACCAGATCTGACCAATCAGAGTACTTGACCCCTCTGGCCACAGGCACTGGTTTAGGGATGGACTGTGACCCAGTTCCAGCCAATGAGATTCAGTCCTGGGACTGTTAGAACTGCTAGGAAGGCTCTTTATTTCCACTGAGGTCTCTATGCTGGCATTGTGTCAAACTAAAGCAAACTTGGCAAAGTATGATGCCTGATTTTGCAAATAGTTTTATTGGAACACAGCCACACCCACTTGTTTTTTTAATTGAATGTGGCTGCTTTTGTGCTACAATGGTAGACTTAAATAGGTGTGATGAATTATCTGGCCCTCATAAGTCTAAACTAGTTATCATCTGGGGCTGTACAGATCACGTCTGCCATCCACTGGCCCAGAGCTGTCAGTAATCATTGTGCCTCATTGGATGAGAGGGGAAAGGAGATATGGTGACAACAAGGAGAGGAGTCAGTTATAGATGGAAGAGGCTGAAGTTTAAGATGGTCAAGGGATGATGCTCAGGGATGGGGGTGGAAATGAGAGGAAATCAATGAGGGGTGGGTAACAGGAGCTAGCAGAGGAAGGAGGGTCATAGGTGCATTTCGGCAAGCTGACCTTGGGGATGAGGCTCAGGCCCCATTTAAGGGTCTGAGTAGGTGGTGGGGAGAGGTACTTACACAAGTGGGGTCTGAGGCAGGAAAAAGGGGAGGGGTTGGTGGGGCAGTCAGGGTAAGCAAATGCACTCACCTTGAGACCTCAGGTCCCCCGATTCTCTCAGGTTCGTCTGCGACCCTAGGGGAAGGGGGCAGAGTGTCTAATCTGGACATAGGGAGCCCCCTCCCCCAACCCACTGCCTCTAGGACTCTGGACAGTCCCTGCCTCAGCCCCAGTCCCTCCCTTGTGGCTGGAGCTGGGCTGGAGAGGGCTGGGAGTAAGGATTTGATTTCCCTCTCTATGCCCAGAAGAGGAGCCCATTCTGAAATGGTTAGTGCAGATTGGAGGAAAGATACTGAAGAATTTGGAAATCAAAAGAGAGGGTGGGGGTGGGCAGAGACACACACCTACATAAAGAAGGAGATAGACAGACACACGCACACACCCCTCCTTCATGCTGTGCTCAAATGACGCCTGAGCGAGTGAGGCCTGCCCCATTTAAAACTGCACCCTCCCTTCCCCACTCCCCTGGCCCCCCTTCCCTGCTCTATTTTTCTCCTTAGAACTTGCCACTACCTGACAGTCTATATATTTTACTTCTTTGTTATTTCTTTCTGGGTCCCCTACTAGAATGTCGGCTCTGCCTGGGCAGGGATTTTATCCAATTTGTTCATTGTACTCCAGAGTCCAAGATGGTGCCAGGCACACAGTAGACACTCAGTGAATAGTAATAACAGCAAATATTTATAAAGTATTTCCCAAGGCAATATTCTAAGCTCAGTCCATGTAGCACCTCACTTAGTTTGCACAACGACCCTGTGAGGAAGGTACTGTTATTAGTATCCCCACTTTACCAAAGAGGAAAGTGAGGCCCAGAGAGGTTGAGTCATCTGCTCCAGGTCACTCAGCAGAGTGGTGGTCTGAACCCTGAGGGTCTGGCTCCAACAGCCGGACTATTGTTTATTAACTGAGTGAATAAATGAACAACCAGAGCCCCCATACAGACTCCTTGCCCGACTCCCAAAACCCCCACCCAGAACCCCCGTCCCCCACACCTGCACACAAGTCAGACATGCAGACAGGGAGGCAGAGCCAGTGAAAGCAGAGGGTGGACAGGACTTACTGATCTTGGATCCCTGGGGCAGAGAGGCGCCCGAAACACAGCGGTTAGAGTTCTGCCGTTTAGAGGGATCGAGGGTAACCCTGCAGCGTGAGGAGGGAGGTGAAGGGTGACGGAGGAGGAAGGAGAGAAGGAGGAGGAGAAGGAGATGTCGGGGTACAGGAAGCAGAGCAGAGTAGAAGACAGGTTAGGCCCCATCAGCCCCCCTCACCCTGCTCCCCACCCCCCACAACCCGTGAGGCTCACCTTCGGGTCAGTTTAGAGGTCAGCTTGGTGAAGAGGTTGGTGGTGGGGCGGGGCCGCCCAGTGGGCAGGGGCGTGGCCTCATGGGCCAGTGTGGGAGAGGCAGGGGGTCCATTCTGCACGCCCCCACCTCCCCCGCCCCCTGCCCGCCTGTCTCGGACCTGGCCACCGTGGAAGGTGCTGCGGATGGTGGAGCCACGTGCCAGGCGGCTCCGCTCCCCCGATGGGGGAGCCAGGCTGTGACTGGAGGGGGAGGCGGGGGGCACCCGTGGGGCACCCGAGCTGTGGGCAGAGAGGTACAAGTCAGGGTGGGCCTTGAGGCAGGCCAAGTCCCCCATCCCTCTGATTCTTCACTGCTCTGTCCTGAGATCAGAAACCTCAACCAACCTGGAGCTCAGAGACAAGGCTGCCGTGTACAGTTGCGCAGGCTGTGTACTATACAACCCTAGTAGTATTTTACTGACTCTTCCCCCCTCCTAAGTCATCCTTCCTTCAAACCGTCCTTTCTTCAAACTCTACCTCCTCCAAACTGTCCCCTATCCCAGCTCTCTTTGCTCCAAACTCAGCAATTGAATAGATTCAGGTGTATTTTTGGATGAATCCCTCGCCATCCGAGCCTCAGGAACGAAACCAACTGTGCAAACACTTGGCTCTCTGAACTTTCATTATTCAAACACGGGAAAGGAACAGATGTGAACATCAAAGGGACCTACACTCATTATAAAAATTTTTCAATAGGTGAAAATAAAGTGGAAGGAACCCTCTTCCTAACTCTCTCAAGATGCCGTGTTGGCAGAGGTGGCTCTACTATCCCAGGACCCTCCTCCACCCCTCTGACCCTCCCAGTCCTGGTAGCACAAGTCAGATTTCCAATTTCTATCCTTCCAGGGACCCCAGGACGAGCCTAGATCTTAAACAAGGACTGACAGATGCTACTACCTCTCCCCCAGAATCCATCCTCCTTGTTTGACATTTAGTAACCAAACCCCTTAGAGTATGAGAATTGCACATGGCTGCTGAGTCAGAGACTACATTTCCCAGCCTCCTTTGCAGCTAGGAGGTGGTCATGTGACTGTGCTCTGGCCAATGAGATATGAGCAGAAGTGCTTTGTACCATTTCTGGGTCAGGCCTCTAAAAAAGAATGCAGTTTGCACTCCACTTTCTTTCCACTCTTCTTGCTGGTTGGGAAATGGTAGAAACTGGAGCAGTGGCCTCAGATCAGGAGCTGCAGCCTCATGTTAGGATGGGCAGAATCAACCTGAATCCTTGGAAGAACTTGCCTCCTACCTCTTGCTAGTTACATCATAGAGGACTAAATCTCCATCTCATCCACTGCACTCTGGGGGTCCCTTCATTGCAGCAGTGGATCTATACACTGACTATACACTGTCTCTTGGCCAGAATACATAGGAGGCCATATATTACAGTGGTTACAAGTACAGCAGTCAGTCTGGAATCTTTGCTCCTTGACTTACCAGCTGTGTAGCCTTGGACAAATTACTTAACTTCTCTGCCTCATTTCCTCAGCTGTAAAATGGAGATACTAGGATCGACCTCATAGAATTGTTAGGGGGATTCAACCAGCTACCATACTAACAGAAGTGCTTTGCGGTTATCTCTTGATAAGAGTTAGCTATTACTTTTTTTAATTTAATAACCACAAAAAAGTTCTTGCTTATTGAATGCCCACTGTGTCTCAGACTCTGTGCCAGGCACAGGACACATTTGATCTCCACTGGATCCCTCTAATGGGGTCTGGAGGCAGAGAACATCAACCCCATCTTACACAGGAGGAAACAGAGGCTCAGACACTTGCTGAAGGTCACTCTGCAAGCAGTGTCAGGCAAGATGCAAACTCAAGAGCTGAGGAGACACAGAATCACTGGTCTCAACCATTCCATTACCCAACTCCACCAAGAGTAACACCCGCATCCATTTATCAGGTGCTTCCCAGAGTGCACCTCGGTGTCATGCCCTACAGTCCTCCTGGTGGGCGGGAGGGTCATTACCCTGAAGCCTGCCCCACTCCTGGACTTGAACTGTGATGGGAACCAATTCCTTCCCTTTTTATGCTCCAGCCAGTCTGCACTGGTTTCCCTCACTTGCCAGCTGAAAGAGACCGAACAGACTCAGGCAAATCGGTTTGAAACCCAGCCAACCAGAGGATGTTGAAGCTGTGACATTCTGGGGCTTCTCTCAAGTTCTAAAAATGGATCATTCAAAAAAAAAATCAACTCAGGTTCCCAAGACTCGTAGGCAGAGAATGGGGCAGACTGCTTTCCTGGTGCTCATGACTAGTTAATTAAGCGGGGAGGCTTTACAGGGGGGTCTGGGGTGGGGGAACATGGGTAGAGTCCGCCAAGGGAAGGGCAGACACACAGACTCCTCAGTCCCCAGGGAAACGCCCTCCCCACATCTATCGTCTTAGATTCAGGGGGGCCCTGCTCACCTACACCCCACTTCTCCCTCCCCATTGCTGCCCTCCCTCTATACCTGTTTTCTTTGCCATTTGGCAAAAGGGATGGGCGCTCAGCCCCTGGGCGTTCTGTGCAAACGTAGGTGTTTCTGCGGGTCATCATGCTGGGAGGGAGGCTGTTCTGTAAAAGAAAAGGCCAGGAGGGGAGTGAGGGGGCACAGGAAACCCCTTAACTCCTCCGTTTTACCCTCTCCAGCCTCCCTTGTTTGGAATGAGGCAGGGGTCTGTGTGTGACCCGAAAGTGAGTAGGTGATGGTTTACTTTGGCTAAAGAGATGAAAGGTTAGTGGGCCGTCCCAGCGATCCAGGCTGAGAGGCACAGGAAGCCTTGGCGCTAGGAGGAGAGAAAGTCAGCGAAAGTTCCCAGGGGGCAGCCTTGCCCACCTCTCCTCTCCCAGCTCTCCCCGACCTCCAGCCACGTCAAACTTTTAAACACACTTATTCATGCCACACTGTCTTTTCTCTTAAAGGCCTTTGCACAGGCTGTCTCATCTGCTTGGGTATCGTAGGTATCTTTCAGGTGTCAGTTCATAATATATCCCCACCCTGGCCCTAGGCTGAGTCAAGTGCCTCCTCTGGGCTCCCTGATGCAGCCCTGGTCACTCTGTACTGACCACATCTGTCCACAGACACGTCTACACCCTGCACCGCACTGTGAGCTCTCTGAGGATAGGAGTAACTCAACAGGATTCTGTTGCCTCATTAAATATGCCCCTTTCTTTCCTCTGGAAGTCTAAGATTGGCATTCTTTCTTCCTTCAAAATTTGGAAGATTTTACCCATTTAGGGCCATCTGGGTCTGGAATTTTCTTTATGGAAAAGTGTTAAGACTGTTCAAGTTTTCTGTTTCTTCTGTGTCAGTTTTGGTTAACTGTGTGTGTAAAGACATTTGTCCACTTTGTCCAAGTTGTCAGATTTATTGGCATGAAGAACTTCCTAATACCACCTTACTATCTTTTTATGTTAGAACAAAGTTCTCTTTTTCATTTCTGATAGTGGTAATTCATGTTTGCTGTCTTTTTTCTTAATCAGCCTTGCGAGAGGTTCACTGATTGTATTAATCTTTTCAAAGAATCAGCTGCTGGCTTTGCTGATTTTCTCTAGTGCACATCTGTGTCTCCTTTATTGATCTTTTCTCTTTATAATTTCCTTCCTTTTCCTTTTTTTGGGGGGATGGGGTATAATTTGCTGTTCCTTTCCTAGTTCCTTAAAGTGTGGGTTTATTGTGAAGTGACAATAGCTCTCATTCATTGAGTGCTTACTGAGCCAGACATCACGTAACGTACTTTATGTACAAGACTGTACAAAATCCTCCCAGCAACCCAAGTTCTTTGATAAGCTCATTTCATAGGGTGGAATCCTGAAGCTCAGGAGGGGCAGTTACTTGCTCAAAGTCACAGAGCTCATCAGTGTAACTCAAACACTGATCTATGTGGCTTCGGCAACCTGGTCACCTTCCTGTAACCTGCTACCACCTTTGTCTCCTAATGCTAAGGATATTCTGGTTCCTCAGCTTGTATTATATCATTCTAGGGAGCTGCAGAAGCAAGAAAGCCAAATACTACATTCCCCAGAATCCTCTGCAGCTCATGTCCTGGATATAAATGGGTTCTGCCATTCTTTGCACTCGTGAAGATCTGGAAGGTGGAAATGGGGTGGCAGCTGCCTCTTTGCCCCTTTGACTTCTGCTCACACAGAGACAAAGGTCTTCGCTTCAGCGGGGCATCAGTGCTGCTGTTTCAGACCTCTGGGCAGCAAGAGGCTCTTCTGGTGGAGGATGAAGTTTCTGAATCTTGTACTGCAGTCCTGACTGTGTGTTCATGAATTCAGCAGGCTAGAGGCAGCCTCAGAGGTAGCAGCCCCCTGGGTGGGTCAGTTCTGCTGTGGCGATATGTCATTCTTGTAGGTCATGCTTACAGCCTGCTCTTCTGGCTCCTTCTACAATTTTATTAGCACCACACCTAATTCTCTGTATTAAATCCTCCCTGTCAAAAGCACACAGATTGCTTCTTTCTGACACTGAATGCTAAGTTATACACTAGAATCAAGCACAAGCTCAGGCAGAGACAGCACTAAATAAACGCCTGTCAAATGAATGACTGGATAGATGCAACAAGGAATCCTGTGTGATGGTCTGAGGAACAGGGTGGGAAACAGCAAAGTCTGAAAAACATGACCTAGGTGGCATCTGCAGGCTGGGCCATGAGCGGTCGGACCCCCGGCCCCGCCCCCCAGCCCCAGCACTCACAGGGGTGCTCGTGCTGTCCTTCCGCCGCTCTGGGATCTCTGCCTTGTTGGGGTTGTGGGCACTGCTGACCATGGGGCTGGAGGGGGGCAGCCCTCGGCTCCCACTTCCTGCGGCACTGCAGCTTGCCTTCCGGCCTGGCAGGCGCTCCTCCTTCAGCTCCGTCTCCCCCGTGCTGGTCGGGCTGCGCTTGGGGTGCAGGGGTGCAGGGGATGGGCCACCTGGTGGAGGGAGAGGACAGTTAGGAAAAGCCAGGACCTACTCTGGAACCTTAGAATTCTTCACATAGGCTTCAACCTCTGCGTAGGCCATTCTGACAAATTCTGTCAAAGTGACACATATATACTGACCCAGAAGCTCCACATAAATGACATGACGCACATACAGGTTACTCACTGCATCCTTCTTTTTTTTAAGGCCAAAAGATTGGGAGTAGCCTAAATTCCCCTTAACATGGGTACAACTAAATAAGTCAAGATACTGCCAGAGAATGGAATACCACGCAGTTATAAAGAAGGTTCCAATGTAGAATGGTCTTTAAGCAGACTGTGAAGTAGAAAAGGCAAGGCAAGGCATGAGGTCTGCAGTGTGTTATCACATGCATAAAAAGGGGAGAAGCGTATATCTATCTATATCTATTCATCTATACTTGTTTAAAAAGGAATGTTGCCAACAGGCTATTACTTCTATTAAAAAAGGAGAATATGTCTTTACAGTATATTAATCTATTAATATTGTATTTACACATCGTTGTACATTTCTTCTTTCTCTCTTTCTCCCTCTTTTCACATCTGTCTCTTTAAATATTTAAATATGAGTAAAACGTCTCTAAAAGAATCCATGTAAAACTGGCCAAAGTGGCCGGCTCCGAGGAGAACTGGGAGCTGGGAGGTATATAGAACAAAGACTTTTTTACTATCTATTCTTTTTGTGCAGTCAAGTTTTGAAGGATGTGACTGTGTTAGTTTCAAAAACAAAACAAAACAAAACAAATCTGGTCACTTAGAACATCTTGGGAATTATGGTAATGTCCTGAAAATATCAATTAAGTCTAACTGTTGCATTGTGTCATTTGGGAATTTACGGTTTTAGAACCAAGGGGTTAAACATGTTCTAGAACGTCAGACAGTCAGAACTTCTGTGTGTTAAATCCTCAGGAAACTTAATACTTAAGAGTCCCAGAACCATAACAAGCTCTACAGTGATGGATGCAGGACACCATCACCCATCCTTCATCCCGAGGACCCTGGAACCCAGAAAGTGTCTATGAGGGGATTTTAAAAGGTTACCATGTTCTAATCACAGGATACTGGAGTCACAAGCTTCGTAGGGACCTTCTGGGCCAATCTTGCTATTTTATAGGTGGGGAAAGGAGACCCAGCGGAGGGGAACGGCTTGACCATCCAGAACCATGCATTTCCTGCCCAGGACGGGTGCTGAGCCGGCTGAACCTTGGCAGTTCCTCCCTTGTTAAACAGAGTTACCAGATGACCCAGAAATCCCACTCCTAGTTCTTTGCCCAAGAAGAATGAAAACACAGATCCACACAAAAACTTGTACATGAATGTTCACAGCAGTGTTATTCAGGATAGCCAAAGGCGGCAGCAACTCAGATGTCCATCAGTTGATAAACAAAATGCAGTATATCCACGCAGTGGAATATTTGGCAATAAAAAATTAAGTATCAATCCACGCTAAAATGTGGATCAACCTCGACAACATTATCCTAAGCGAAAGAAAGCAGACACAGAATATCCAGAATAGGGAAATTTATAGACAGAAAATAGACTTATAGTTGTCAGGGGTTGGGGGTTGGAGTGGACGGGGGAGTTGAGATCAAGGGCTAAGGGTTGTGGGGTTTTTTCTAGGGTATTGACATTGCTCTAAAGTTGATCGTGGTGACGGATGCACAACTCTGAATATACTAACGCCACAGAATTGTACCCTTCAAATGGGTGAACTGTCTGACATATATGAATTCTATCTCAATAAAGCTGTTTAAAAAAATAGTGGGGAGGAGTAACATTTGATGAAGGTTAGCTGAGAGGCCTCTTGGAAGTTCCCATGCCTCATCTGTGGTGGTGGTGGGTCCATTCTTTTTATGCAGAGGATGAGCTATCTGTCAGGTGTAGAATGTGGGGTATAATCAGGTGTCTGCCCAGCTCCTTTTCACTAGTAAATGTGGAGAGGCTGAAGGGCAGGTTCCTGGCAGTCATTTTGTACAAAGTGTCCTCCTGTGTCCTAGTCAAGTAGATTAATCCCAACTGGACACTGATATCAAGTGGACTAAAGAGATTTTAGCTACTATTTGAGCTGGTCTCTAAAACCAAGTTATAACGAGTTGACAGACTGGGGAAAAGACACCGTGCGATAGATAAGAAAGAAAGGAAAAACCAGATGAGCAGAGAAGAAATAAGACACAGAGAGTGTCTGCTTTTCCAGTTTCTAATCCCTTCCTGAGCCTGGCTGTTTCCAAGTTCCATGCAATGTCCCCACACCTTTATAAGACATTCCTCCCTTCACCACAGTGAGCTTGAGCAGGTTTTTTGTTGCTTGCCAGCTGGAAAACCCTGATGTAAGGCGAGTCTGAGGCCTTAGGGCCAGGGATGGCATGTGAGGGAGTGGGGCTGATACTCACAGAAGTCGCTATGCCTGCGCTGGCGGTGGTAGGTGGAGGAGGAACTCCGCTGCCCTTTGCTGTGGCTGGTGCCTTTGCTGGAGCTTGTTCCATTGGTAGTGTCGCTGGGCGCCCGCACCCGTGCCAGGGCCAGCCCTGGGGCGCCCCGGTCCCCACCCTCCTGCAAGAAGATGACAGATGAGGAGCTTCAGCCCCTATCCCTTCTGTCCCAAGAAGGCCCTCCACCCTGAGCATCGCACATCCCAGATGTCCCCGACGCCGTCTCACCTCAGTCTTCCTGCCCAGCAGGAGGTAGGTGGCGGTCACTTCGTTGTACTTCTGGCTGGTCAAGGCCTCTTTGATTTCTTCCCGTGTGTAGCCCATACCCACCATCACCTCTGGGAGAGGGGGATGGAGAGGAGGTTCAGTCTCCCCAGATCCTTCCCTTCCACCTGTTTCTGCATCACATGGCAACACTTGCTCTTTCGCCTGTCTAGTATCCATCCCTGTCTGCCAGAGCACCCTAACTTTCCTGGGAAGAACATTGCTTCCCCACTCAAATCACCTGGTGGACTCCTGCCTGCTCCAAGCCCCAAGGGCAGGCATATAACCCAGGTCTGGCCAGAGTGTTCCATCCCCAAGGTCAAACTGATTGGATCAGGGATAATCAATGAGCACCACCCTGGGGTTTCTACTGGAACATTAGGAAAGTGGTTCTCTTCCTACCGCGGCATCCAGGCCACTGGGATGTGCTGTTGCCAGCTTGCTCCTAGGGGGAAGAGCTGCCTGGGAAAGAAGTCACCACCGAGAATATCCCCCAACAGCTGCCTCTGAGCACCAGGATCCAGCTGTCCCTGAAGGCTGGCACACCCCGGCCTTTTTAGCTATGTGAATGAATGACTTCACTTTTAGGTTAAACCGCATGAAGTTGCTGGTGCTGACAGTTTTTGAGCTATGAAAATGGCAATTTCATATGGTTCAACCTATTATTATTATCTGGCTTAAGCCAGAATGGCTTTGGTTTCTGTTACTTGCAACCGTAAAGTCCTGATGAACACAGCCAGATCTGATGGTGGCCCCAGTTTCCTCAGCTGCAGAATGAAGGTTACTGGGTGGTTCCGGAGGGGCTCTTCCAGGGCTAAGGCTTTAGGGGTCAAGGGTTTGAGGGCTCCAGGCTGAAGGGATTAGGATTAAGGAGGTGGTGGGTGAGGCACGTGCCAAGGTGGGAGTTTCCCTCAAACATGCAGATTACTGATGGCTTTGCCCAAGCTCTAACGGAAGCGATCTGTGATTTCTCATGTCTTAACAATCAAAGCTAACACACAACAGCACTTATTACACGCCTCATGAAAGTGCTTTACATAAATGCATTTATTTACATTCATAACAAATCTATGAGGCTCTATGATTATCCCATTTTACAGATGAGGAAACAGAAACACAGAGAGGGGAAGCCACTTGCTCAGAGCCACACAGCTAGAAAGTAGCAGGGCAGGGACTGGAACCCAGATTTCTCTGCTCTCCCTAATTGCCTTGCAAACTTCTCTGACGTGCTAACCAAAGGGGCAGGTGCTGGGCAGCTCCCACCCCCAGGTCCGTGGCCGTGGCTCTGCTCTCCCTGACCCTCACCGATTCGCTTGGTGTCCCCGAAGTCCTCCTCGGGCTCTGTGTATGGCTTCAACTCCTCACCCTCATAGCCGATGTTGATCCACTTGTCTTTCATGATTTGCTGCAAGGATCAGGGGCAGGACAGGGAGGGGGAAAGAGCAATGTCAGAAGAAAGTGGGAAAAAGACAGCTCCCCACCTCCCAGGTGGGCCCCCAAATGGGGCTACCTGCCCTGCCCCCACCTCCAAGGCCTAAGACCCCAGAATTGAGGGCTTCCTGAGAGCTAGCACCTCCTCGCCCCACCCCCTTCCCCCCAGCTGGAGCCTCCCGATGCCACGCTTCCTCCTCCGCATCATCTGGGTCCCCGCCACCCTGTAATCATCCTAGGAGCTCATTAGCTAATTACTGGCACTTCGGGGAGTGGGCGAGGCGGTTGGGGGGATGGCATCAGGACGGGTCTGGGAGACTTTCCCTGGGATGCCTGTCCCCGCTCACCTTCCGGTAGTGGATCAGGATGGCAGAGGAAGAGTGTCGGCCAAGAAGGCTATGATGGGATGGTTGTGGGGCTGGGGGCTTACCTCGAGAGTACAGCGTTTAGCTGGGTTCAGCACCAAAAATCTCCGCAGGATGCTCTCACAGTCTGTTGACATGTAGAAAGGGACTCGGTACTTCCCTCTGAGGACTCGCTCCCGCAGCTCCTGGGGGGACGGGGTTACTGGGGGAGGAGGTCACCCCACCTCCCTACCATTACTCACACACACACACACACACCCACACACACCCACACACGCTCACTCATCTTTCTCCCAGTCCCCCAACAGACGTGACAGGAACTACATGTCCCAGCCCTGATGATGTGGGAAACACCCCACCACTTTCTCTTGACCTCAGTTCCCACCGGTAAAATGGGAACGCTGTACTTGCTGCAACAGTTTTCAAAAAAAAGTTTGTTTTTCTTAAAAGTGATATACTTTTTCATTCTGAGGACATCTTACGGAGAAGGTGAATTTTATAAGCCAGATAGGAGGGGAGGTGGGCAGATGAGCCAGCCTCTGGGGCCTCAGTTTCCTTATCTGTAAACAGGGATCACAGGACCCGCTTCCCAGGCTGGAAGGGTACCAGTGAGCTTGCAGAAGTCAATGTCTCACACAAGCCGTTCCCAGAGCAAGCACTTTTTAAAAATTACGTTGATGTAAGGGGAAGAGAGCAGGGGCATCACCTACCCCGACCCCATGCCTGTCTTTCTAATGAGCTTTGAGGCCCTGGAAGTCTCAAAGGGTCAGCACTGATTTATATGCTGGCTTTTTTTTAATGGCCTTTTATGAGGGGCTCGGCCAAGGCTGCGGCACACCGGAGAGGGCGCCTCCCATCCTGAATAAAGAACTGAGGGAGACAGAAAATGGAGGCGGTGTGAATGGAGGAAGGGCTCTCCCCGCGTGGAGCCCTCTGCGGGGGACTGGGCAGGAAGCTCCCTGTGGGGGAGGGCCTTCTCCTAAAAGGGTTGGATGAGGCCTGTGTCTGGGGAGCCTTCTGCATCTGAGGAGGATCGTTACAGACCCAAGGGTCGTGAATATTTAATAAGAATGAGTATTGATTTCAGAGCACTCACCCTGTGCCAGGCAGCATTCTAAGTGCTTCACACATATTACATCTGGGTTCACAAGGATGCTGTGAAGCACGGTTATGATGCCCATTTTCCAGATGAGGAGACTGAGGCCCAGAGAGAGGTTAAATCACTTGCTCTGGGACTGTGCAGCCAGAAAATGTCAGGGCCAAGGTTCAAACCCGGGCAGTGGGGCCCTGGAGCTGAGTAACCACCGCTCCATGTGCCTCTGTCATGGGATGCTGAGATGGTCATCAAGCTACTGACACCACCACCAGAGCATCTCCCGAGTGTGATACCCTGGCCAGATGCCAGGCCCTGGGAAGGGCCTTACATATCTAGTCTGGCTGTAAGTGTCCCCATCTTATAGGAAGGGACTTGCTCAAGGTTACTCAGCAAGGAAATGACAGAGGCGGGATCTGTCCCCAGCCACGTGTCTCCTTCGCCCAGCCAGGCTTGGGGTGCCTGGTGGGGAAACCAGAAAGCAGGAGGTGACAATGGCCAGGGGCAGGTGATGCTGGCTGCTCCTCACGGGCCACATCCAGCAGACCTAAGCATTTCTGCTGCAGAATTTCCACCCAAAACACACCCCTTGATCACAATCATGAGGAAACACTGAGGAACCCAGACCCAGGGAGATTCTTTCTGCAAGATGACTGGCCTGAAATCACTGCCATACCACAAAAGACAAAGAATGGCGGAGGAATTGTTCCAGATGAAACTAAAGAGATAAGACACCTGAACGCAATGCAAGAGCCCGAGTGGATGCTGATGCAGGAGAAAAAATAGCTACCAGGGATATTCTTGGGACCACTGATGAAACCTGAGTAGGGGCCGTGGGTAAGAGGCTGGGACTGCATCAACGCTGGATTTCCTGAGCGTGATCGTGGATAGGAAAATGCCCCGTCTCAGGAGATCCCTGCTGGATGCAGCCTTGAGGGACAAAGGGACATTGTGTCTGCAACTGACTCCCGCGGGTTCCATCAGTTAGAGCGATGACGATACCACGTGCACATACAGACACATACAGCCCACGTGGCCACGTGCTGGCAATCGGAGCATCTCCCGAAAGGTACCACCTGTCCTCTGTTCTAGTCTTACAACCTCTCTGTGGACCAGCAATGTTTCAGAAAAAAGTTCAAAGGACAAAAAGAGCACCCCAACATTACAATGCACTCCACGCTTCCCATCCTCTTCCATAGAACCAGCCAGCATCTGCCACCTTATGTATTTTGCTTGTTTATTTTACTTTCTGCCTGGCTCTGCTGCAAGAACGTTGGTCCACGAGGGCAGCAATTTTTGTTTATTTGTTTGAAGTGCACAGTTCAATGGTTTTTAAGTATATTCACTGAGTTGTGCAACCACCACCACAATCAATTTCAGAACATTTTCATCACCCCCCAAAAACCCCTGTAATCCCAATTCCCCCTCCTCCCTAGACTCAGGCAACCACTAATCTGCTTTCTGTCTCTGTGGACTGGCCTATTGTGCACATTTCAGAGAGACGGAATCCACAGCGGGTGGCCTTTTGTTACTGGCTTTTCCCCCTTAGTCTGTTTTCGAGGATCACCCCTGGTGAAGGGATTTCTGTCTCTTTTGCTCATATCCTGTCTGCAAAACTCAAAACAGAGCCTGACCCATGGACAGCAGATCATAAATATGTATGGAGTAAACCAGTGAGGGAGCAGGATTTGAACCCAAGCCTGCCAGCTGCCAGCCAGAGCCCTGAACCCCGAAACAGCACAGTCCACTTGGGCTGGCCGCACAACTGTGGGGACATGGTCCAGCCTGACCCCCATCTTGCCGTGTGACCTTGGTCCTGCCTTTCTGTGGAGGAGGTGCTCGCCAGGGATAGAGCCGGATTGTGAGGGCAGGAGAGACCCTCCCAGGGGAGTGCCAGCCCTGCCAGCCCAGCACCTTGAGGTTGTGCCCATCGAAAGGCAGGGAGCCGCTGACGAGGGTGTAGAGGATGACGCCGAGGCTCCAGATGTCCACCTCCGGCCCGTCGTACTTTTTGCCCTGGAACAGCTCCGGGGCGGCGTATGGGGGGCTCCCACAGAACGTGTCCAGCTTTGAGCCTAACGTGAACTCATTGCTGAAGCCAAAGTCGGCGATCTTGATGTTGGCCTCGGCGTCTAGCAAGAGGTTCTCAGCCTGCAAGGCAAGGAGAGGGCAGAGGGTAGATATGGGAGGGGGACAGGAGCCAGCCAGCCTGGCCAGACAGTGGCCCTGTCCTTTACTACCTGTGTAACCTCAGGCAATGACTTTACCTCTCTGGGCCATTTCTTCATTCAAAAATGGGGATAACTGGGGGCGGAGGCAGGATATAGCTCAGTGGTAGAGCATGTGTTTAGCATGCACAAGGTCCTGGGTTCAATTCCTAGTACCTAAAAATGAGGATAATCATTGTCCCGACCTTACAAGGATGTCTGAGGATTAAGTGAATTAATCCATGCAAAGGCCTAGAACAAAATTTCATACCCTGTAAGTACTACAGAACATTAACTATTATTATCCCATGGGATCTGCAGAGCTGGAGGCCCTCAGGCAAACTCCTGCCCTCTCTGAGCCTCAGTTTCAGCAGAAAAAAAAAATGAGAACCAACTGCTCAAGACCCATAAAAATGAAGTCATTTTATATAATACTTACTGTTCACCTACTATGTGCTGGGCTTTTAGACAATCATTTGTAAGAGTGGCTATATAGCGTGGGGATAAAGGATAGGGTCTGGAAGAATCCCAGCTCCATCACTCACTTGCTATGTGACTTTGGGTGGATTCCCGGACCTTCCTGTGCTTCAGGTCTCTATGTGTAAACTGCAGGTAACAACAGCACCTGCGTCATAGGCAGTGGTGGGGTTAAGCAGAAAGTGCTTCTCACGGCCTATGGGACAGAGTCAGCCCTCAGTCAATACTTCATATTGTTACGACGTTTTGTCTGTTTTTGGAGGCACATGTTCTGTATTTGCCATTTCGTGGGAGAGGAAACAGGCTCAGGGAAGCCACCTCATGCCCAGAACAAGAAAGTGGAGGAGCTGGAATCCAAATGAGGCCTGTCAGCTCCCTGGCTTGAGAAGGGAAGGAGCCTCCAGCATCCCGCCTATTCCAGCTCTCTGACTACAAATGGATGCACCAACCTGCCCTTCAAAATGCTGCCCAGGCCTGGACCATCCCAACCACAGTCCTTCCCTGGCCCAGCGTCTCTGGCTTCCTCCCAGTCTGCCTACATTCTGGTGTATTTTGGTACCACCCTTCCCCACCTCTGACCCAACAAAGGGGTAGAACCCACACTGACACACACTTAAGAGGGATCTTCCCCAAACCTCAATCTCCAGCCATCTGTCTTGTTCAGGGGTGACATTTCCCTTGGTGGCATTTCAAGCTCCACAGTTCAACCCCAACCTCACTTCTGGGTTGGTTCGGGTGATTGGGCCCCTCCTTGCACTAACCAGAGCCCCAAACCCCCTTTTAGCCACTTTCAGGACTCTCCACCAGGGGGCGTGCCTCTTTCAGGTTGGTTGCAATGGATCGCATCCCTGCAGGGCAAACTCAGAAGATGCTAAGGTGCTTCCTCAGTGGTTTGGAGGGAGGTGGGGCAGCTGGCAGGGCATTATCGGAGAGACAGTTGTATTTAGAAACTTCTTCAGCAACTTGACAGTGGAATTTTATGTTTTTGAATCTAGTAATAATAATAATCAAAAAACTGGGCTTGTATTTTGTTTGCATATCCTTTTTTCCTACAAAAGTACCTGTCAACCTGGGAATTGAAAACACTAAAACAAACCTGGTCCTTTGCTATAGAAACCTCGAGAAGCACTTCCCTAAGTACTGAGCCCAGGGCCTGGGACACAGTAGGTGTTCAAGAAATCAGTCAAGACAACTGGATTGGAGCCAGACAAACGTTTCTCTGGTCTCGGACAAGAAGTCCTGAGACAGGAGGTTCTCTCTGGGTGGGAGGTGTGGAGTGGGGACTCTGGGACACCGAGCTGCTTGACGGGGCTGTCCCTGCTCAGCTCAGCCAGGCTGGGGGGCTGGGGCCCAGGCCCCGCTGGGTCCCTTCCCTGACAGGCATCGGCCCTCCCAAGGATGCTGTCTCAAGTTTGAAGATGCCTGTGATTCTCAGACCCGGAGGCCACGTGACTCTCGGGCTCTAAGATCTCAATTCCTGAAGATTCTTGAATGTTCTAATCTCCAGAGGATGAGAGTGACAAACTTTTTACTGGGTTCCAGTGACCTTGTCCAGGATACATGTAACCATCTGAGGCCATTCCAGGACACTTTGTTTCTTTCCCCTTTGTTCACTCCTCCTGTCCCCACCCCCACCTACTCCTCCATCTGCTGGCCTTGTTTTTGCCACAAAAGCTTGGGAAAAAGTCAAGGGGCTCTGGATGCTCAGGGAGGAGCACGAAGAGAAAAGGGAGGGGAATGGGGGAATGTGGTGGAAGGTACAAGGCCCTGGGGGACCAGAGATGGGGCTGGGGACCGCAGGGTTTGCGGGCTGAGCTGGGAGCTCGCAGTGGTGGGGGGGCTCACCTTCAGGTCCCTGTGGACAATGTTTTTCTGGTGACAGTAGTGCACAGCCGACACAATCTGGATTACAGGGAGGGTAGGGGAGTCAGTTACTGTGGCCTCCAAACCCCTCAGCCTCCCTCCGAGACCCCATGAACCCACTTGCAATGGAGCTCTGGACCCCTGGCCTCCCCAGGCACATGTGGCAACTGATGCTGGGGTCCCACACCCTAATTTGGTCCCAGCGGGAAATGCTGTGGGACCTGCACACACACACCTCCACTCAGACATCGGACATCCTTGTACCCAGGCATCAGGACACCCTCCCAGCAGGGACATCAGCACCAAGGTAACAGGACTAGCCCCGTCCTGACTTTCACATCCAGAAACACTCATGAGAACATCACATGCCTACAGACAGACACGTAGTGCCAACAACCAGGGCTTAAGCCCTGCACACCCAGGTCAGCTGTGCGAGGCAGGTGGACGGTCCCGGACCAACACCTTCACTCAGATCTCTTCACCCACAGACCCTCACACCTGCCTGCCTTCTTACATATCCGTGCATCCTCACTGCCACACCCCTTCTGATCCACCTGGACATCCTCACGCCATATACTCTCTTGTCCACCAAACTATACGCCCACACTTGGGCTCCCTCCTGCCCGCTTACACACACGGGCATCCTCATTCCCACACATCTGAAAGCACATGCCCCCTTACCCACACACCCAGGTACCCACCTACCTGCAGCCCCTCTTAACCACAAACTTAGATACCCACACCCGGACCCCCTCACCCATACACCCGGGCTGCCATGTGTTTCACCCCCCCACTACACACTGACAGACCTGGCACCCACACTCCTACACTCACACACCTCAGCACTCTGGCACCGCACGCCCTCTCAGTCACACTCCTATACACTGGGCACACCTTCGAGCCCACACATCTGACATGGCACAGCTGGGCACCTTCGTGCCTGACCCTCTCACCCACCCAGCTGGGTACCTGCACCCCCACATCTGGATATCTTCACACCTGGGCATCACACACCCTCTGACCTCCAACTCTCCACTTTCACCCCACTCGGACTTAAGCCACGCCTCCAGGTCCCTGGACAGCCAAGATCCACACGCAGCAACCAGACCCCAGGGATCTCAGCGCCCCTCCCAGCCCTGCCCACAGCCATGACTCCTGACCTGTCGGAACTTGGCTCGAGCTTCCTTCTCCTTCATGCGGCCGTGCGACACGAGGTAGTCAAACACTTCTCCTGCAGGGCAGAGGCCGAGCCGGGTCAGGGTGGGCATACAGGGGCACAGAGAGCAGGTGGGGGTGGGGGAGGGCCTCACCGGCACTTGCATATTCCATCACCAGGTACAGCGTCTTCTCCGTCTCAATCACCTCAAAGAGCTTCACTGCAATGGCCGGGGGTAGGGGTGGAAGGTTACTTGAGAAGAGACCCGTCACTCTCCACCCAAACTCAGTAACTGTGCATGTGCTGACCATAACACCTCTTACTCAAGAACACTCAGTGGCTCCCTACTGATGTCAAGATCTGCCAAACTCCCTGACCCCACTTTACCACTTCTTCACTTCCTTCTAAGAATGTCTCCTCTATGATGCCAGGGATTTGTGCCTGTTTTCCTCACCGCTGCACCCCAGAGTCTGGCACATAAGCAGCCACTCAATAAACATTGACTGAGTATACGAACAAATGGATGAATACAAGTTGTGGCCACATCCAAGCCAGATTAAATCCTGCTTCTCTGGTAAAGACCCCGTTCTCTCCACTCTACCTAATGACAATGACAATGACAACGGATGCTGCTGATGACAATAATCAGACCAGCTCCACCGCTTAGCTCTGAACTAAGTGTTTTACATGGACGATCTCACCCAGTCCTCACAATGACCTTGAGGGAAGCGTCTTATCACCCCCAACTCCAGAGGAAGAAACTGAGGCTCAGAGAGGGGTTGAGTGACTCACCTAAGGTCACACAGCCAGTGAGCAGCGATACTGCTATGAGAAAACACAGCTTTCTAACTACTATAACAGCCAATTTTCCCTCCCCTCAACTCTCTTTTCCCAAGTGCCCTGCTTGGTATCCAGTGAGCCCACTCCCTGCTGCTCCTCACCGATGTTGGGGTGGTTTAGGCCCTTCATGATGCGGACTTCTCGGAACAGCTGGAGGAAAGGAAGAAAGAGAAAGACGAGGGTGGGTGGCTTTGAGGGCTTTCTTCCCAACCTTGCCCCGCCCTGCTCCCTCTCCCTGGGCCTCACCTTCTGCAGGCTGCTGGGATTCAGCTGGGTTTTGTCGATGATCTTGATGGCGACCTGGAGGTGGAAGGAGGAGGTGGGGAAAGGTTCCCCCAACTCAGATCACCCTAGGATGTCTTTCCTTTGTCTCCTTTCACAGAGAGCCCTCAACCTGGGCCATTCCTGGTGGATGGGGGATCTGAGCCTCAGGACCTTTGCACATGCTATTCTCACCATGTCCAGGGCTACCATTCCTTCTGCAAGGGAATATCCCCTATTCCACACCGGGGCTTGGGTGGGGCTGCTCCAGGGGCCTGTGTGAGTGTCTATGAGGGTGACTGAGACCTTTAGAGGGCCCCTCTGTGAGGGAATTTCAGACCATTCACCTATCACATCTCTGTTTTGAATGCACGAACTGTGGAACAATAAATAACCAACACTAACATTTACCAAGCAGTCACATGTGCCAGGCCCTGGTCTATGTGCTTGAGTATTTGTTTAATCCTCACAACAGCCCTATGAGATAAGTGTTAGGATTATCCCCACTCTGCAAGTGGGGAAACTGAGGCACAGGGCTGTTCGGTCACTTGGCCAAGGTTACATGGCTGGTTAAGTCTGTGGGCTGGGATTTGAACTTATGCAGCCTGACAGAGTCTACCTCAAACAATTAAAACTTTAAATTTATAGAGTTTTGAAAGAGCTTTGAGGTGGTCACAGGGGAAAAATCAGAATGTTACTGAATTCTCTTTATACATTTCATGTAGTTTAAGTTTTTATGTTTAATTACAGTTTTTAAGCAGCAAGAGGCCTTTAGAAATCTTAATCTAGGTGTACAGAATCTTCCCAAAGGGCTTTGGGGTTACTCCTCAATCACCCCCAATCCACTGCATTACAGAACTCTTCCCCCCGGGAGGCCCTGTTCCCGTAGAAGCTGGTCCTCTCAGAGACCCCTGGAATCAATTTCAAGACCCACGAAAGGGGCACAATGTGCTCCTTGTTGGGGAAGAGGGTTCCTTAGCTTTCTTCATATTCTCATGAATGGGTTTTTAATCTTGTCAAGCACTTTTTATGCCAGTATTGAGATGATCATATGGTTTCTGTCTCTGGATCTGTGAATGTGGGGAAGTACATGAATAAATTGTCGATTTGAACAGAACTGTGCATTCCTGGGATAAGTGCAGCTTTGGCACCACACAGCTTTCCTTAATTGGTGCGTCAGGCTATCTTTGTTAATCCTTTGTTTAAGATTTCTGTACCTACATTCACATGTCAGACTGGCCCACAAGTTGATATCTTATCTGGTTTTGTTGTCACCGTCAAACTAGCACATAAAATCTGGTGGGTGGTGGGAACTCTTTCCTTAGCCTCTGGGAGTACTAGTATAAAACTGGAATGTTTGGTAGAATCTGCCCATAAAACCGCTGGGGCCTGGTGTCTTTTGTGTGTATGGCAGAGACAGTGTGAGGGCAAGAGAAATTGCTTCAAGTCACCTTCTCTAAAACTGAAAGAGGTGCAGAGAGGTCATAATCCTATCCACCATCATTTTTCCCCATCCCAGGTGAGTTAGATGCATCCTCTGCAACAGTGTTGCCATACTCCATGCACATGCTCACCCTGGAAGGGGAGTGAACCTGTGTAAGCATGAATAAATCTCTTGTGTTCTCAACCAAGATCACCAGACGATTTGGTGGCACCAAAGTCCATCATTAAAAAGGGAGGTGGCCTAGGTTTAGACACCAAAGCCATGTGACTTCTTAGAAACAACACGTGGCTTGCCTGTGATCTGAGATGTTCTGACCATTTCAAGGATGTCTGAAATTGGTTCTCTTCTCCTACTTGGGTTGTTCTGGAAAAACCTGAAATGTTCTGATCTGCCCCACAGAGCCAGGGACCTACCCAAGTTCACAAAGCAAAGGGAGGGCCAAGCCCAACCTCTCCCCACCTCCCGCAAAGCACCCGCCCCACAGGATTCTACCCTGAGCCCCAGCCCCTCCCTTCACTCACCTCCCGGCCAGTAAGGATGTGCCGGGCCAGCTTGACTTTGGCAAAGTTACCCTTCCCGATGGTCCTCAGGAGGCGGTAGTTGCCCACATGGGGCTGCTCCTCGGGACAGGAGGCGATGGAGTTCCGGCAGCGGGCACCCAAGGAGCGGCTGGACCAGGACGGTCCCTTGTCCGAGGAGCGGCCACTGCCCAGGGTGCCATGCTAGGTGAGGGAGATGGAGTGTGAGTGGTGGGCAGCGCCCGTCCAATCCACCTTCAGTGGCCTGTGTGCCGGGGTCATGGCCACTGACACCTTCATGGCCCTTTTCAAACCCAGGCCAGATAGAAGCCTTTGGGTCCCCCATCTTTCTCTATGAAAAGATGCCTCCAAGAACAAAGACGCTGGGGCCCAAGTCTGCAGCACCTGGGACCCCAGACATCAAGCCTCTTCTTCACCCCTCCCTGCAATCAGTCTACCCTCCAACTTCCTTTCCTAATTACTGGGACCTCCATCAGTTCCACAATGTTTTATACTAAATGCTGCAGCCCTCAACCCCAATCAACACCGACTCAATCTGGACTCAACACTCCACTCCAACCCTCATTGCTTCCAACACCCCATTTTATCCACAGCCGTCCACACCCAGCCCCCCAATTCTACCATCTTTCAACATTGGATTCTCAGTTTGCTGCCCCCAACATTTTCTTCTGATTCTTGCTGCCCCAAATTCTACTCCAAACACTGTAACCAACCGTCTTTCATTTTGCCCTGACATTCTAGCCCCACAGTGTTAACTTTTCTTCTGTGGGAAACATTGTTGCCTCCTTATTTGGAGCCCCCATCCCTGCCGCCCCGTGAGACTGCTGCTCCCCAGGCGCCCGCTGTCGCCCACGCCAGGCCACGATCTGTCCCTGACGTTCTGTTCCTGCTGTCCTGTCCCTCCTGGGCCTCTCTCCCCCGCAGGTCACCTGCCTGCTCCAGGCTGCCCTGCCCTGATTGTGAGCCCCAGGGACTGTGCCTCCCTTTCAGGGCTGGGGCCCAGGCTGTGGGAGACAGAGGGAGGCTGAGGCCCTAGGCCAAGACAGCTCTGCTCAGTCCCAGGGCTGTCCCTGCATCCTTCCCAGGGCTGGGGATGGGACACAGGACAACACAGGGAGCTGAGGAAGAGAGAAGGCCAGGTAGGTGACGAGAGGAGAGCCTGGGACTGCTCCTTGCAGGGAATCCACCAGAACACTTAACAGTGATGAGAACCACCAGTTTATGAGCACCGGTGACTGGTGCATCATCACCCCCATTTTACAGGTAGGGAAACTGAAGCTCAGAGCGGGGACCTGAACCCAGATAGTTTATCCCAGAGTTGATGTCTCTGCCATGACCATACCACACTGTCTCACGCTCCCAGTCATCTTCATTAAGTAGCCCTTACTATGGGCATTCGAGCACTCCATCAGCATTTAATTCCCACAGGAGCCCAATGAGGGTGGCACCTGCATCCTCATATTCCAGAAGAGAAACTGAGGTCTGGAGCGAGGAGGGGCCTTGCCAAGGTCACACAGCTCATTAGTGAGAAGTGGAAAGGTAACGCTCCCCACGAGGGGCAGAAAGACAGCCGCCACTGCTGGAGCCCTAACCACACGCCCACTGCCTCCCGTGCCCTCACCCTGGCCTCAGATGCGGGCTCCATTACCATCTGCATTCTCCACCCGGGGACCCCAAGTTGGAGGCAGGGTAAGTACCTTGCCCAAGGTCACAGGGCAGACAGAGCAGAGTTCCCAGGATCCGAATCCAGGTCTGCTGACTCTTGAGCCCCCAGCTTTTTCCTGCATCACCGGCTCACAACCCCAGGTTTCCTCCCAAGGGAGTGGGAGAGGGGGCTGGAGATCCTGGCAGACAAGGCCTCGGATTCCCACCCAGATAAGGGCTCAGAGCACAATCCCCATCAGGTGGCACCAGGGGAGCCAATGGGGGCTGGGCTGGCACCCCACCAAAGGCAGTGTGGCTGAGGGACCCCTGCAAGGGGCAGGTGGGGCAGTGGGGGACAAAGCCCCCAGGGGTTGGGGCAGGAGCTAAAATTGGCCGGCACCACCAGCTGGCCCAGCTCCCTCCCGACCGGCTGGCGCCCCAACACTGGGCCTGTTGCTAGGGAACCTCCAGAGAGGATGGGAGGTGGGGGACCTGGAACTTGGTGTGGGGGAGCATGACCCCACATTGCTGTTGCCATGGTAACCAGGTGGCAGGGGAAGGGGCTGTGACCTCGGACTCCAGAGGGAGAGAGATGACTCTGCCAGCACTGACAAGCAGGTCTTAACAGACTATAGAGTTGGGAGAAAGGAGAGGAGAATTAGGGGTCCCCAAATCCCCACGATGCACAAATCTGAACAGCAAGAGGAGGAAGAAGTGCTTGTAAAAGCCCCATTTTACAGCTGAGGAAACTGAGGCTCAGAGAGGTGAGGTCACTTGCCCGAGGTCACACAGCTAGGGAGGGACAGAAATGAGATTTGAACTGATGCTTATCTGAATAATCAAAATAATAATAGCATATACAATGTGCCTAGCTCTGCATCTTACTCACATAATCTCTTTGGCTCCTTAAAACATCCCTAATAGGGAGGTGCTTCCATCAACCCCATTTAGAGGTAAAGAAACTGAGGCTCAGAGCAGGGAGTGGACTGCAAGCTCCTGCAACAACTAATGACAGCCTTGGGTTGAGAAGCCCCAGCTGTCTGACTCACACCCACAGTCACAATAGCAGCAAACATGTGTGGAACGCGTCCTGCGTGTCTGGCTTCACCCGTATCATTTCAAGAAAACCTCTGAGGGACCCAAGTGATCATCCCCATTTTCCAGGGCAGGAAACTGAGGCTCAGAAGGCAAGAACCAGTAGTCTGAGGTCACAGGGCAAAGGGGCAGGCAGAGCCAGCACTTGAACCCAGGCCTGTGGGCTTCCTGTCACTTCCCGTAGCTACTGGGGGGTGGGTGGGGGTCTCTCATCAGAGACTCCAAATCCGAGTCTGACCTATAGTGTGATGGGTGGTGGCAGTGATGGTGATGGTGGTGGAGGAACTCTGTGAGGGAGAGTCCTGCAAGATGAAGGGGCAGAGATAAGTCTCTCTGGTGGGAATCTGGGGTGAGGGTGGCTGAGGGTTGACAGAGACCTGGCAGAAGGCCTAGGGGGAAAGGCACAAAGATCCCAGCTGGGAAGGAGTCTGGCGCTGTTTGGTGAGAGGGTCTTTAGAAGCACTGAGAGTAATCAGAAGTCAGGGAAATGGAGGTGGGTGTCTCCATAAGATTGTTCTGGGATGTGGTATAAGGACAGGGGGTCCAGGAATAGTGAGAAGGTTCCAAGCCATGGGGCAGTGGAAGTCAGGGGCCAAGGATACCTGAGCCAGGGGCCTAGGTCTTGGGGGAGCTCCTAGAAGTCAAAGAAGGGGGTTTCTAGGAGCAGTCCTTGTGACCAAAGAAAGGTCCAGGGGCCTGAAATCCTGGGGAAGGAGCTTCCCGGACAAGGGGCAGCTCAAAGGAATAAAGGCTGATCCTGGCGGGGGTCAAGAGGCCTAGAAACTTGGGGAGAAGGCTTCCATCTGACAGATCCCAAGAGAAAAGGGCTTAGAGGCAGGGCAAGACCAGAGGCTTCAAGTCCAGGAGTCTTCTGGAAGAAAGATCTGGGGCCAGGCCTTGTGAGCTGGGGAAGGACTCTGAAACTGAGGAGGGAGCGTCCCTGGGAGGCCAGACCCCTGGCAAGAGGGAGGCCCTGGGGCAGCAGAAGGGATGGGGCCCTGGAGCTCTGAGGGATGAGGTAGTGTCCTGTGAGGAGGGGCCTGGCCTGGGGGGGGTGTCAAAGGGTTGGGGAATTGGGGAGGGGGCTTGCCTGAAGTGGAGGAGTTGAGACAGGGAGGATGAGGCCTGGAGTCAGACTGGTTCAGGGCCTAGAAATCCGAGACTGAGCTGGGGGCCTGGAAGTTGGAGGCCAAGGCTTCCTGGGAGAGGAAGAGACCAGAGAGGGTCTGGCGGTGGGGAACTGGAGGGACACGAGGTGCTAGGAATCCAGGGACAGGTTTGCTTGGAGGATGGGTACCAGGCCTGGGAGTGGAGAGACCTTGAACAAGCTAGAAAGGGCCCTGAGCCCAGGAAAGGTGGAACCTGCTTCCTGTGAGGGGGTGCCCACAGGAGCCAGGAGGATCCTGAGGGAGCCAAGGAGCGGAAGACTGGGAATGAGAGGAGGGGGCATCCTGGGGAGCCCGGCACCCAGATCCAAACAGGGAAGGCCAAACCCAGAGGCAGGACTGGGCCAGGCCTTCCTGGGAGACGGCTGTGGCTGGGCCTTGGGGTCAGGAGCCCGGCAAATCCGGGAGGGGGCCAGTTGTCGGATGCGGGAGGCCTGGAGGGGAAGGGGCTTAAGAACACGGGAGAAGGGAGGGGCTCCTGGAAGACAGGGGAGGGGGCTTCCTGGAGGGAAGAGACCCGAGCGGAAGCAGTCTGCAGAGGGACAAGAGAGGGGTCCCGCAAGAGGGGCGCCCCCAGGGGTCGGGCTGGGCTGAGGAGTGGGGGAAGGTCGAGAGGCCTGGAAGTCCGGGCGAGGGGTCGGGAGGTGGCCAGCTGGGCTGGGCTAGGGGAATGAGGGTAGGGGCTCGCAGGGCGAGGGGCACAGCCGGGCGAGGGGTTTGGCTGCCAGACCCAGCCGGGGCTCCCCAAGGGGCCGGGCCCCACTCACCGTGTCCGAGTTCCGATCGTTGCCCGGGGCCAGCGCCGTCCGTGAAGACATTTTCTCCAGGTCTCGGGGGACTGGGCGGCCGGGTCGGGGGGGGAGCGGGGGTCCGGGGTCCCCTCTCTTCCCCTCCCCCCCGCCGGCCTGGGACGCGAGCTCAAAAGCTGGGCGCTGTGGACACCCGGGTTCGCGCCGTGGGGAGGGGGCAGGGCGAGGGAGGGAGGGGGACGGCCGGAGGGTCCTAGGTGGCCCCCGCACAGCGGGGGCCCGCCGT